TCAGGGAGAACTACAAGAGGAACCACTCAACTCTCATCTCACAATCTCTCAACCTCACATACATAATCGACTCTCATATTCTCTCCAAAGCTCATTCCTTGTAATCTTTTGCACGGATAAAGACTACGAAACCCTCTCTCTCTCATTTACTACATCTCTATTTTTTCTTTATGGTTTTTCCTCCACCAATAGAAGAATATATATATGGAAACCAAAACCCTATCTCTAGCCTAACTTCCTAATTAGAATAAGATTCAAACTCCTAATCATGATAATATATTCCTCCTCGATCACTTAAAATATTAATTCTGGACTTCGAATTCATTGTACTGGACTTGCTAGGATTCATTGCTCTGAGACTTTTAGTTCACCATGTTGGTAATATAATCTGTTTAGAGTGTAATTAGCACAAAATGCAGTTTTAACAGAAATAGATAATGATTGAAAATAGATATAAAATTAAACTGAGTTTAGAATATAGCCTGATGGTCGAGGCGTGCAAGCACTGTCCCAAGAAACTAATTGCCCCCACTCGTACAGGGCTACGCGGCAAAAGTCACCGGAGATACAACGACCCTCGGTCAGGCGACCTCCTTCTCGTCGGCACGAGCTTCAAGAAGGCTTTGTGAATTCTTCGTGACTTTCAGGGAACCAACAAAAATATAACAGTAATATGAAGAGGAATGACAGAGAAGAAGAGAGAATACGATGTGTTTTTCACACTGTGTTTTCTACCCTCGCAGCTTGCTGTTTATATAGAGGTTGAGAATGAACGTTTTTTCAATACCGAATTAAATCCTCATAAAAACATTTTTTCCGTTTTGATTCTGTTTTAATTCTCATGAATATTACCGTTTCATTTACGTTTTAATTCAGTTTTAAAGTTCATAAATCTCTCTAATTAATTCTGGCCGTTAAACATTTTAAAAATGTTAATCACGTTTTAAACAGTTCCAATTAGTAAAAATAAAAATAAAAATGTTAGCATATTAAGGGCTCATTAATCCGGAGCTGCATTCGTGTCCGCAGGTCGTGTGGAGCATAACCAAAAATAAAAATAAAAATGTTAGCATATTAAGGGCTCATTAATCCGGAGCGGCATTCGTGTCCGCAGGTCGTGTGCGCGCGCCACCCGACCCGACCCCGGCCCGGCCGGCGCGCGCGTGTGTGGTGTGGAGCATAACCTTTGTTTTCTTCTAGGCATAGGAGAGAAAGGGAAGGCTTATAAGGACCCCTTTTTTCTATCCCATTTCCTATGTGGGACTAAACTTTCCCTCTTTTCCTCTACAAAGTCAAGTTTTAAGTTATCTTTTATTATATAATTCCAACAATCCCCCACATAACTTAAAACTTAAAATAGTTCAGAAATAACAATAAAAGAAATAAATACGATTGCTGGTTCCCTTATACTATGTAATAGGTGGAGGTACCTTTCGGTTTGAACCTTCACTTAGTGACAGTTGTATAGATCCGTGAGAGCTTGGTGGACTTCGCCTTGAACCAGTCTCATTTATCGGATTTCTACAGAAAGCACACATAGTACAGTTTTGAAGAATTCTAAACGGGTTGCGCTATTATCGGCCTTGCGCAGGTATCTTTCATGTGTGTTACTAGGGAGCAGCCCTGATCCCATAGTCGCGGCCTCACAACTACACACATATAGGTGAATCCTAATAAGGATGCGAGCAAGTAAGCATCCTGCCTCATGGGTCTTGGATTCATTAAGAGTTAGACTCAACCTTTCACTTGCTTTTTATGAGCACTGATCACCCTAGGGATGGGAGCAAATAAATTCAGTGCTCCTCACAATTAATCACTCATTCAGTTTGTTTCTACCCATTGAACCTCTGCGAGGTTGGGTTGCCACTGCAGTGATTTTTCTTATGGGCTTAACCCCATCCCCCTCGATGATTCTAGGACCACTGCCCTAGATAAGCCTTTAGTTAAGTGATCTGCAAGATTTTTCTCTGATCTTACAAAATCTAAGGCTATTATATGATTTTTCATCTTATATCTTAAGGATTTATGGCGCACTTTCAAGTGTCGATTCATCTTCACATTTGCATTCTCTTGATGGCATTTGTCAATCGCTGACCTGCAATCACAATGAATAGAAATGGCTGGTAATGGTTTTTGCATTAGTGGAATTTCAGTTAGTAAATCTTTCAACCATTCAGCTTCTATACTAGTAGTATCAAGAGCTATCATTTCTGATTCCATTGTACTTCTAGCCATTACAGTTTGTTTAGTAGATTTCCAGGACACAGCTCCTCCTCCTAAAAGGAACACAAATCCTGTGGTGGATTTTACATCTACTGAGTCACTAATCCAATTTGCATCTGAATAACCTTCTAGTACAGATGGATAACCTTTATAGTGTAAACCATAATTCATAGTTCCTTTTAGGTATCTCAAAACTCTTTCTAGAGCATCCCAGTGACTCTTATCAGGATTTGATGTATATCTACTAAGTCTATTTACTGCATAAGCAATGTCAGGTCTGGTATAGTTTGTTAGGAATCCTAGTGATCCAATTATTTGTGCATATTCTCTTTGTAATTGAGGATGACCTGTATTTTTCTTTAGATGTACATTAGGATCATATGGAGTGGAAACAGGTTGACAGTTTGGATCATAAAAATTCTTAAGGATTTTCTCTATATAGTGTGATTGTGATAGCACATATCCATTCTCATTTTTCATGATTTTAGTATTAAGAATTAGGTCAGCTTGACCTAAATCTTTCATGTCAAAATTTTGTGATAAAAAGTGTTTGATATCATTTATGATTTGTATGTCAGAACCAAAAATAAGAATGTCATCAACATATAGGCATAATATCACAATTTTGTTGTTTTTATCTATTTTATGATATACACACTCATCTGTTTGATTAATTACAAATCCATAAGATAGTATAATTTCATCAAATTTCATATGCCATTGTTTTGGGGCTTGTTTGAGACCATATAGTGATCTAATAAGCTTGCATACTTTCTTTTCTTGTCCAGAAGCTATAAATCCCTCAGGTTGATCCATATAAATTTCTTCATCTAAGTCTCCATTTAAAAATGCAGTTTTAACATCCATTTGATGTATTATTAATTTGTGAATGGATGCTAGAGCTATGAGGACTCTAATGGTAGTAATCCTAGCTACTGGAGAATAGACATCAAAATAATCAATACCAGACTTTTGGGTATATCCTTTAGCTACTAATCTGGCTTTATATTTATCTATTGTTCCATCAGGTCTAAGTTTCTTCTTAAACACCCATTTACATCCTATGGTTTTACATCCTGAAGGAAGATTAGTTAGTTCCCAAGTATGATTTTGAACTATAGATTGTATCTCATTATTTATAGCTTCCTTCTAAAATGGAGCATCTACTGATTTCATTGCATCTTCAAATGTAACTGGAGAATCTTCTACAAGTAATGCATAGAAATCTTCATGGACCTTTTCTATTCTAGTTCTTTTACTTCTCCTAGGCTCCTCTGGACTTTCTAGTGGTCTAATTATTTTAGAACTAGTTTCACCTTGATTAGAACTAGGATCTGAATTATTAGAGCTAGGGCCTGTGTTGTTTAT